AGAGCGTCTGTGCCAGAAAATCATGCTCAATCTAGAATTGCCCTTGCCCTGACGGCCATCAGTCTTGGCACTGCTCGACCGCCTCCGTCCATGTCTGCTGCTGGTCTTGCTGCAAGAATGTCCCAGGTTCCAGCTCCGGTGCCTCTCATGAGTCTTAGAACAGCCCCAGCAGCCAACCTTGCTAGCAGGATTCCTGCAGCGTCTGCAGCAGCTATGAACCTGGCCAGTGCCAGGACACCTGCCATCCCAACAGCAGTGAATCTGGCTGATTCGCGAACGCCAGCTGCAGCAGCAGCCATGAACTTAGCCAGCCCCAGAACAGCGGTAGCACCTTCAGCTGTGAACCTTGCTGACCCTCGCACCCCTACAGCCCCAGCTGTGAACCTGGCAGGAGCCAGAACCCCAGCTGCCTTGGCAGCTTTGAGTCTCACAGGCTCTGGTACCCCACCAACTGCTGCAAATTATCCTTCCAGTTCTAGAACACCCCAGGCTCCAACCTCTGCAAACCTGGTGGGTCCTCGGTCTGCACATGCCACAGCTCCTGTCAATATTGCCAGCTCTAGAACCCCTGCCGCCTTGGCTCCTGCAAGCCTCACCAGTGCTAGGATGGCTCCAGCATTGTCTGGTGCAAACCTCACAAGCCCCAGGGTGCCCATCTCTCCCTATGAGCGTGTCAGTGGCAGAACTTCCCCACCACTCCTTGACCGAGCCAGATCCAGAACACCACCATCTGCCCCAAACCAGTCTAGAATGACCTCTGAGCGAGCTCCCTCCCCTGCCTCAAGAATGGGCCAGGCTCCCTCACAGTCTCTTATTCCTCCCGCACAGGAGAGGCCTAGGTCCCCTGTGCCATCTGCTTTTTCAGACCAATCCCGTTCTTTGATTGCCCCAACCACAAGCATAGCAGGGTCCCAGTCCTTTTCCTCTGGGGCAGTGGCAAAGTCTACGGCCTCTGCTAGTGACCACAATGGCATGCTCTCTGTTGCTGCCCCTGGGGTGTCCCATTCTGAGGGTGGGGAACCACCTGCCTCTACTGGGGCCCAGCAGCCATCTGCATTGGCTGCCCTGCAGCCAGCAAAGGAGCGGCGGAGTTCCTCCTCCTCCTCATCATCCTCTAGCTCCTCCTCTTCTTCATCATCATCGTCATCCTCTTCCTCCTCTGGCTCCAGTTCTAGTGATTCGGAGGGCTCTAGCCTTCCACCTCAACCAGAGGTGGCACTGAAGAGGTGAGGGAATTTGACTTTAAGAAATCTCTTAGGGAAAAGGCATTAGGGATGGTTGGGGGAGTAGGGAGGGAGAAACCATGTCACACAGGTTCTTGGCTCTTTTGAGAAGGTATGGGGACCTTGATGCTCAACTGGGGGTAGAAGAGAATGCTGGGGTGGGGTCTGGGGTTGGGGGGAAGAATGGGACAGATAAAAGACACCAAAGGTTAATTTTTTAGAGGATAATGATAAGTTTTCCGTCTCTACAGAGGACAGAACTAGAGGAAATGGACTTAATTTTACAGCAGGAGGGATGGCAGTTAGACCTCAAGAGGAACTCCCTGGGCTGGAAGGATCTTCAGAGGTCATCCCATCCCTCTCCCTGCCTCCAGGCAGGACGGCCCCCTCCCCAGCCAACCTGCACTCACAGGGGGCCTCCCCAAGCTGCGGCTCTCCAAGGAAGGAGACCACCCAGCTTCAGCTTCCACACCTGAGCCCAGAGGCCTTATTCTTCCATCAGGGACATTCTTGAGGTTTAACCTTGATCCCTTGTGCTACGGGCCCCAGCCTGTTGCTTGTGTTAGCAGAGGTTGGTCAGCTCGGGCCACTGCTCTCCAGAGATTGTGCTCACTGGCTGGTGTGGCTAGGAGAGCTCCCAGGGCCTTTTTCAGTCACCCCTCCCCCACTGCCGTTCCTCCAGGCCAAGGAAGGTAGGGTTGGGGCTGGGGCAGCTTGTCTCCTTGTGACACTCCTCTTCTCCCACAGGGTCCCCAGCCCTACCCCAGCCCCAAAAGAGGCTGTGCGAGAGGGACGTCCTCAGGAGCCAACCCCAGCCAAACGGAAGAGGCGCTCTAGCAGTTCCAGTTCCAGCTCTTCCTCTTCTTCTTCCTCTTCCTCCTCTTCTTCCTCTTCTTCATCCTCTTCTTCCTCTTCCTCCTCTTCTTCCTCCTTCTCCTCCTCCTTATTCTTTTCAGCTCTTCCTCTTCTTCTTCCTCTTCCTCCTCTTCTTCCTCTTCTTCATCCTCTTCTTCCTCTTCCTCCTCTTCTTCCTCCTCTTCCTCCTCATCCTCTTCTTCCTCTCCCTCCCCTGCTAAGCCTGGTCCTCAGGCCTTGCCCAAACCTGCCAGCCCTAAGAAGCCACCCCCTGGCGAGAGGAGGTGAGTGGTGCCTTTCCTGAGATGGAAAAAAGGGGGGTAATGTGTCCAGAGAAGGGACCCTGGGGATGTCTCATGTGGACTTTGGTGTTTGGTTGTATGGAGGAGTCAGGTGCACTCCTCTCCCCTGTTCTGTTGTGCCCTATTCTGGCAAAGGGTTGCACCATCCAAGTGGGTGCTTAAGCCAGAATTGGGGAATCCTAGGTTTCTTCCTTTCCCTCCCCCTGACATACAGCCTGGTCCTAGGGTTTCTAGGTTTGAAGTCTCCCCATTGCTACTGCCAGGGTTCTGGTCTGGCCACCATCATCTTCTCCCCACTCTGTCCACAGCCTCCTCCCTGTCTCCTTGCCTTCACGCCATTTTCTTCCACATATAGCCAGAGGGATCTTTCTAAAATGCACATCTGGTTACTTCCCTCCACTCCACAAATCCTTCCTGGGATGCCCTGCGGCCTGCAGGATAAAGCCCCACCTCTGCGGGAATGGCGTGTGAGGCTCTTCACCAACTGGCCTTGCCTGCCTTGTGTTCTCCTCTCCTGCCTGCCCCCACACATGCCCTGTGCTCCAGCCACACCCAGCGCCTTGCAGTCTAAGGAGAGCCCATGCCTTTGGACATGCTGTTCCTTCTGCCTGGAATTTCCTTGTCCGCCTGGTGAACTCCTCGTTCTGCAAGACTCCGCTCAAACAGCACCTTCAAGAAGACTGCCCTGCCCCTGCCCTACCCTGCCCCATGTTCTTGTCCCTTGGGGTCCCCAGACCTACACACATCCAATCCTTCGGTGCTGCTTCCCATACATGGGGCCATGTGTGCCTTCCTTCACCACTGAGCTCCTTCAAGGGCAGGGACTGTCTTTATCTTTGCATCCCTCCCCCGCTGTACCCTGTGCTCTGCCCATTGGGGCATTCGGTGGATGGTGTGCGGGCGGATGGGTGAGTGAGCGGACAAAGGTGGGTCTGAGGTTGGCCCTGCGTGGTGTGAGGTTTGGTGGTCAGGACCTGGGCGGGTGGTCCTGAGTGCTGGTTGGTGTTTCTGGAAGTTATGTGGTGCTATGGGGCTCTACTCCACTCTCCAGGTCCCGCAGTCCCCGGAAACCAATAGACTCCCTTCGGGACTCTCGGTCCCTCAGCTACTCGCCTGTGGAGCGTTGCCGTCCCTCACCCCAGCCTTCGCCACGGGATCAGCAAAGGTAGAGCCAAACATGAAGTGGCAGTATCCAGCTTGATCCAGCCACTGACTCTGCCAAAACATTTTGAGGCTCAGTGGTGCTTAAGGTTGTTGCTACTTGTGGTCTCATATCTGTTTTGCAGTAGCAGCAGTGAGCGGGGTTCCCGGAGAGGCCAGCGTGGGGACAGCCGTTCCCCAGGCCACAAGCGGAGGAGGGGGACACCTAGCCCTCAGCCCATCCGACACCGCTCCTCTAGGTGTGTTGCCCTGGAAGGCTGAGATCCCCTTCTGGTAGCTGGTTCTGGTGGTACTGGGTGGTGGCCCCATCCTGGAACTGGCTCAGGAAGGTAGGCTTGAGGGCCCCAGTGGAACCTCAGAGCATTGATCCCTGTCTTCTCTGTTGCAGGTCTCCGTAAATCATCTTTGGGGTATTGCACCACACCCCATGCTCTGGACCCACAGGGAATGCCCTCTTTTTTCCCCAGCAGAGCAGTGGGAGGGGCCCTTGTTTGCCCCCTCCTGAACCTTGGCAGCCCTTAGATGGAAGGGCTTCCTTTCTTTCTCCCTTTTTTTCTTTGTTCCTGTGAAATGTTAATCTCTTGTGAGTTTTTCCTGGTTCACGTGTTTTGGGGTGGGAGGGAATGCAGATGGGAGTTGGGAGAGGGGAGGATACAGTTTAGGACACCCCAGCTGGAGTGAGAAAGGCCCTGGGAGGCATGGGTCCCCTTTGCATCCCCAAGTTCCTGGGGGCTGATGGTCTGGGACTTGGGAAGTTGTGTGAAGTGTTCTTGGAAGGGGCAGGAGTTGAAGTTAGTTGGTCCCTACTGTCCCCCATGAGATATGTGGCCCCTTCCCCCCAACTTTTCATGTTTCTTAAAGGCATTTTGGTTTTTTAAAATCTGTACAGCAAGAGCAACTTTTTCTGTCAAATAAAAATGAGAAATGCAGGAATTGGGTCTACAGACTGTTTATTAGGTGTGGTAGGAACATATGAGCCAAGCTCCCCCCTCACTTCAAGCTTCCAAGTGAGCAGCTCTCTTCCTGTGTGGGGTCTCCTGAGGGCTTTGGGGAACCTGTGTGATACTGTTCTAGATTGTGCTTCCTCACTAAAGATGCTCTCAAACCAAACCCCTGGCTTCAACTTTAGCTTTTTGCTCCTCTAGAGGCCCCTTGGAAGTGGGTTATTACCAGGTTGGGGAGCTTGAAGGAGTATGATCTGAAACTTAACTTCCTGGAATAGCCTGACCCAGGGTTCCAGTTCTTCCCAGTTCTTTCCCTAGGCTGGCTGCTGGAAGTGGCTCAGCCTTTAGGCAGCCCCGGTCACTCTGGTGCCTTTGAGTGGCAGACTGGGCCAAGTTCTCAGCCAGGGTTCCAGGTAGGAAGAGCCCAAACAGGAGCCTGTGGGGGCAGCATGACCCATCCCAGGGAGGGTGATGCCTGGAGTCAAGAGAGGGTAAGGAGAAAGAGGCAGCAACCAGGCAGACACCCAAATCTCTTTTATTGGAGGGAATGAGCCTTTTGGGGGCAGGCCAGGGGCCTTCACTGTACAGCCTGTTCATTGGCGCTGCTTCCTGAGTCCTGGGGTTTCATCACATCGGGTAGCTCTGGTGGGCTGGAGAAGGGCTCAATGCGTAGGGCCTCAAAGGCATCATCTGCAAGATAAGGGACAGGGCTGGACTGGGGACTTGGTGTTCACCTGTAGCTTGGGGCACCTCCATGCAAAGTCGCTCTCCTCTCCCCTCCAGATCTGACTTCCCTACACCCAGCTATCACACTCAAGTGACCCTACTGGAATATCTCCCACCATTATAAACCCAGCCTAACTATGACCCACACCTCACTTGCCCTTCCTCCTCCATGTCTACCAGTGAGCCTGCGGGATAACCACCTGCACCTGCATCCACCTACTTCTGTCTCCACAGCCGCCACCACCCAGATTGTCCTCGTCTTGTTCCCTTCACACCTCTTTTACTTAATTTTAAAATAAACTAGACTCTTAACTCCTCTCCTGCTTAAAACCTAACAATGGCTTCTCATCATACTCTGAGCAGTATCTCAAGTCCTTGCCATCATGTTTCCAAACCATCTCCTCTGCTCTTAGATTCTTGCTCCTTATGTCCCTAGACCAAGCTCTTTTCTGTGTTGGGACCTTTGCATTTGGCTGGTCCCAAGAGCTGCCATTCAGAATGGCTGGCTGATTCTTGGCAGAGTTGAACACAAAGGTTTCCTCTGAGAAACATTGCCCAGTACCCCCCTGAACAGTCAGTACATTCCAACACCCTGTACACAGCCTTGGGGGCACCTACCACTGGATAAAATTGTGGCTTTTCTTCTGACTGGCTCCTTTTCCCACTAGAACTGTGGCTCCAAGGAAGTTCTCACTGTCACCCCAGCACAGAGCAAACGAACCCCACTTCACAACTTTTCTCCTATGCGTTCTTCTACCTGGCTCAAGGTTCTCAACTGATTAGACCCCACCCCCCCACCCCCAGAGAGAGCTGGCATGTTTGGAGACAATTTTGGTTGAGATATCTAGAGGGCTGCTACACATACTACAATGATGAGACAATGCCACACAGAATTACCCAGCCTAAAATGCCAATAGTGTTGACCCACCTTAATCCAATGCACTTTCCCAGCCACTACCATGCAGTGACAATTCTTGCCTTTACTACTTCTCTTACATTCTGGAGATTAGTCTGGCCAATGCCCTTTAAAACTGAATTTCAACACATTCATCTCATTTCCCTGAGCAGTTAGTTTGAATGACTGGGAGAGACCTGCATGGGCATGGAGATGGCCCAGCTAATGCCTGGGAACCTATGTGCTGACTGCTTCAGCTGCACCCAGAAATGAGTTTTGCAAAGTAGTCCATGGTTAGACAGACCTGCCAGCCCACACTGTAACCCCAATCAAGACAGCCACCATGAGCCTAAGGGATGATGTGACCTGGGGTCCACCATGTTCAATGCCATATTGAGGGTTGGGAAAAACAAAGTCACTTCCCTTAGCTTCAATTTTCTCACTTGCAAAATGGGTCTGTAGCATCTTCCATGTCACAGAAAACCTCTAGGGTACCTCTTTTCAAATTAGAGAAAAGGGCTGGGTGTGGTGGCTTACACTATAATCCCAGCACTTGGGAGGCCAAAGTGGGTGGACTGCCTGAGCTCAG